ACCATTTAACACCAGATTCAAGTGGCCTCATATGATCATATCATTTGTTTCCAATCGTACATATTCTGTCACCATCCAAGAACCAACTACGATGAATAAGAAAAGACACTACAAATGTAATCCTCTCACTGATTTCTACTTCAGTTTTACAAACAACCATGGAGGTGAAGCACTGTGAGCTACAAAATTACTTTTGGATTCTTAAATATACACAGTGAGTGTGAGTCTTGCACCCATGCACAACATTCCTACATGTAGAAATAACAGTGAGAGGAAAAAAATGATGTATGCTACATTTACACATGAGTTTTAAATAATATACTTTAAAATGTGGCTGCTGATGCAACGACTCGTTTCTTTGAGGCTCATTTTAGATTAACAAACAATAAATACAAAAATGTTTTAAGGAGAATTCATAAATTAGAAACTGACACAAGTCTCAGGTTAAAAACAGAAATCAAATATGAAAATTAGTAATATTTTCTTTTTTACCAAATGAATCTGCAGCTCAAATAGAAAAATTTGAGTTTGAAAGTCAGTTAATCAGTGGATTTCAGTTGATGAGCAGCAGGTCAAATGAGCAACTTCCCTGTTTGTTTGTTCTAATGTTAAAACTAAGTGACCTGATATTTAAAGACATTGCTACGGCTGCCGCCGTATTCTGAGGAACTCCATCTCCCTCTTCTCACTAGGTGTGAGTGTGTGTTGTTGTTGTTGTGTGTGTCACTCAGCCCTCAGGTTACCCTGCAGCAGGATCTGATTGAGCTGATGTGATTCCAGCCACCAGGAGGATACACATGTGGACAAAATTGTTGGTACCCCTCAGTTAATGAAAGAAAAACCCACAGTGGTCACAGAAATAACTTGAATCTGACAAAAGTAATAAAACATAACACAAACATTTTGTCCACGTGCGTGTATAACGCCAGCAGACCAGCATTTGACAGTGAGCTGTTGCCAGCCCTGCTCATGTGCCTCTTATGATTGTTGTACTTTTGTGAACTTGTTGAGGCACTAGATTCTGTTTGAGAATACTGCATCCACCTTTGATTGGCTGTTCTGCGTGCTGTTGAGCGCTGTTCTGATTGTATTTTTGTTGTTAGATTGGGTTAGTTAGATCGTTTTTATTTCATTTTTCTGCATAATAGCAATTTTAAACTCTAGGTTAGAGTCTCCTTTTGTTCTCGTTTTCACAGCACTCATTTAGACTTTATTTGCCTCACTTTTGTGTTTATTGTTAAATCTTAACTTTTGTTCATAAATACTTTTGAAATACCCCACCACATCAGGGTTTTTTTTTGGTTTTTTTTGGGGCTTTTGCCTTTATTTAGCACAGTGGAGAGAGACAGGAAAGGAGGGAGAAGAGTGAGGGAGAGACCTGCAGCAAAGGGTCGTGAGCGGGATTCGAACTCACAACCGCTGCGTCGGGGACTGTAGCCCCTGTTCATGGGTCGCCCGCTCAACCAGGTGAACTATACGGGCGCCCCACATCAGGGTTTTATGTCACTTCCCTTTTCTCTAGCGAGTTGGCCGTAACAGACGTCCTTCCTGCTCGAACCCTATGAAAGAGGAATTCACCTTTTTAGGGCATCTTGAGCTCATCCTGGTGTGACTGACTGACTTATTGTCCCAGATGAGTTTTATCTCATCACTCTCTGTCCTCTACTGTCTGTTGAACAGAAGACTGAATCTGTAGACACGTGACATGTAGAGGAGGTTTCAGTCACAGAGCTTCACTTAGTTTGTCAGCTGTCCATCAGAGATAAGACGTGACAAAGCTGAGAGCTGTGCACATGTTGCAGCGCACAACTCTGATGTGTGTCGTTGTTTTCACCTGTCAGTGACTTTCAGCCAAAACAACAGAAGCAAAGTGTTTCACATGAATCAAATGGAGAGACAAACCAGGAGAATAAACATAGTTGTGGTCCACATGAGTCAGAAAGTTGAGTCCAGAAAACAGTGAGGCTACAGTCACTATGAGGATCCTGCAGAAGTTACCAACCAACTTGTTCTGTTCACTTCAAGCTCTCAGCTGTTTCTCAACATTTTGTTGACGAATTGGTCAGTTTATATCTACCACTTCTCTCTGACACACCAACTGTGGTTCACCACATATATGAACACAAAATACCACATGTAGCTCTGGATGATGAACAGAATCAGTCAGAGTGATGGTTTAAAAAGTTGAATCCTGCTGAGATACTGACAGGATCCATCAAACTATCTTTTTTCTGTCTTCTGCTGTCTGCACTGCTGCAACTGTAACACTGGAAACATGTCAGCACCTGTCTGGATTTACAATTTTACTGTTTTCACATTTACCATCATCAGTGAGGAACGAAATCTACATGACGTTTATTGAAGTTGAGTCACAGCATCTAGATGTGTTTAGCAATTGTTCTGTATGTATGACACTCAAATCGTTTACAGTGTTTGATGTGAGATTGTTCAGAGAACAAACATGTTGCTGAACTGTTGTTGATGTTTCTGAATCTTTGTCTTCAGGCACATTTTGTTCCACATCATGTTCATCATCAGTTTGGTTTTACAGGTGTTTCAGCTGGATGTAATCATGAAGCACATCTCTTCATCAGTACACCAAAGAAGATGGAAGGACTGAGTGGATCTTGTTTGCAAATCCCCTGTAGCTTCACAGCTAAAGCAGGAAAAGAACAGTTTGACAGCAGAAAAAACATCTTTGGAGTTTGGATTAAAAGTGACCCACAATTTGCCAACAATGTACAGAATATAGTTTTCAGCAGTGGTGGGTTAGTTAACACCTACAAAATGAGAATTACTGGAAACATGACAGAACTAAACTGCACCACTCTGTTTTCTGGTTTAACCACAAAGCAAACAGGCAAATATTTCTTCAGAATTGAGAACGAACCGTTCAAGGCAACAGCTTCTTGTGATCCTCTTCAGATAAACATTAGAGGTAAGAGAGTTATGATGTTATGAGTCTGTAACATTATAATTGAGAATAAGAAGTGAAATTAGTTGTGGTTTTGTTCTAAAACAGTAAAGTCCATGAATGTAACATTCACTGTGAGTTCAGGATGATCAACAGAATCAGTCAGAGTCCAGAGTTGAAGAAAGCATCTGTGAACACAAACTTGTGGATTGAAAAGTTGAATCCTGCTGAGATACTGACAGGATCCATCAAACTTTGTTTTGTCTATTGCTGTCTGCACTGCTGCAACTCTAACAATGGAAACATGTCAGCACCTGTCTGGATTTACTGTGGACAGTTTTCACTCTTTCACATTTATCATCATCAGTGAGGAACAAAATCTACATGAAGGTTATTGTAGTTGTGTGTCTACATTGGGATCTGTCAAGTAAATTTACTGTATTTTTCATTGTAAAACATGTGTTTGCTGTGAAACCACAGATTCTCCGTTGAGTCCCAGAATTGACATCTTAGGTGAACTGAAGGAGAAGGAATCTGTCACTATCAGCTGCTCAGCTTTCACTCTCTGTCCACACTCCCCTCCTAAACTCATCTGGAATCTCCAACAAGACTCTCACAACCAAATAGAAGAAAACACAGACAGAACCTTTACAAGTAAAATCCAGCAGACCATCACTCTGTCAGACACACATGATGGATACAACATCAGCTGCTCTGCCACATATCCTGTGGATGAAGGAAAACATGGAAAGACAGCAAAGACACAAAGGACTCTCAATGTTTCATGTAAGTGATCCTGTCCGTACATCATGATTTATTGTTTCTGGTTTATTCAGCCTCTGATTCATCTTTCATGTTGTCCATTCTGTCTCGTTTTCCTCAGATGCCCCCAAAGAAACGTCAGCATCCATCAGTCCATCAGATTTGGTGTCGACAGGTACCTGGGTGAACCTGACCTGCTCCAGCAGAGCCAATCCTCCCATCAGCAGCTTCACCTGGTTCATAAAAACCACAGACGGAACCATGAAAGTAGCTGACGGACGCTTTCACAGACTTAAGATGACCAACATGACAGAAAGTTATTTCTGTGTGGCCACAAACATTCTTGGTAATCAGACGTCATCATGGATTCATTTCAACAGTGAAGGTAAACGTAGAACTGAACTGAATCTGATCTTCTGTACTTCTTTTCTGATGCTCTTTAGATTTGCGTGTTTGTTTTAGTGGATTGTAAAACACTGACTGCTGCATAAATACACTTGAACGTGACCCTCGAGAGAAGAAGTGTAGATGGACAAATTTAAAGTGCTTTATTTAAACGATG